CTCAGGGGCAGATGGTCTGTGCAATTTGAATATTTATAACCTTGGTAATTTATACCTCACCTCTTCCTAAAGTAATGCGGCAATAAAAGGAGACCACTAAGAAATGTCAAAGATGAGGTGAAGAGCAAAGACTTGCAGCAAACAGGAGCTGTGAACGCAGTGCTGAAATATCACTGTGAAGAGACGCAAAGAAGGTGCAAACTTTCAAAGTCAATGGGAAGTGAAGAATGAAAACCGAACCAAGAAGATTTAGGTCGGTCCTTTGGGTCTGGGGTGGTGGAATTCCCTGGAAATAGACTCTGAGAAAGAGATTTGCATGAAAAAGTTAATTGGGGGGTGCTCTCCAGGAGTTAACAGTGGGAGAGTAAGCAAGGCCAGGTGGAGGGAGGATTTGAGCAGCCAAAACAAAGACCTTGGCTGATCCTCCCAGGAGCTCTGAAGCTAGGACTGCTCTTCAGAGTTTCTCTGTTGAAGCGAGGAGAGCAGCCTTTCATGACTCTCCACCGACCACGGGATACAGGCTGCCCCAGGGAGAGGGCAGGCATCATCTTGAGTGAGGTGAGTCTGTTTGGTGGACATCAGTTTGTGGAGAGGGACTCAGCAGGCCACATTCTTGGCACGGGTGGGGCGGGGCGGGGAGGACGAACGCCTCAGCAATAACGGGGATATTGGGCACACACCAGGATGTGCACTGCAAGGTTTTAAGTGGGTTCTTTCTCCCAAAAAAGTAGTTACAAAAAGAATAGAAAAATCTTGGCCCAACCTTGAATAGCCACATAGGTAAAGGCTGCCCACTGACTAGGAACCCCCCCATGCTCAGGTCCCTAACTGGCGAGGGAGAAAGGTATTGTGTCAAATCAGTAACATTTAAGCCTTATTAGATACAGCTGCTAGCGTTGCAGTAATGAAACAATTAAAAACTTTGAGAAACGCTGTGAATGAAAAGAACTGGGTTCTATTTGAGGAGTTAAATTGGAGATGAAGATTAGTTACCTGAGTATAAATGAAATGGACCAAAGGTACATTAATAGTATCTTCTTCTTCTTTTTTTTTTTAAAAATGGGGTTTCACCATTATGGCCAGGCTGGTCTTGAACTCCTGACCTCAGGTGATCCACCCACCTCAGCCTCCGAAAGTGCTAGGATTACAGGTGTGAGCCACCGCGCCTGGCTCCATTAATAGTATCTTCTTAATCACTCTACTCTTGTAATAGTTAATAAATGAATCTATCAATGAATCAGCTAATTCATTTGTTCTGATATGTCACTGTCTACGAAGGCCATATTTATGTTACAAAGAGGTTATTTTGAAATCAAACCAAGTTATGTATCCTATGAGTGAATATCCGTCTCTCAGAATTTATCTTAAGGAGAATAGTGTAAGTCAAAAGAAAACTCGGCTGCATACTGTAAAACAGAGATTGGCAATTTCTTTTTGGTAAATGACCAAATAGTACATATTTTAGGCTTTGTGGGCCACACAATCTTTATTGCAACTCCACTCTGCTGTGCTAGTGTGAAAGTGACCATATGTAATACATGAATGAATGGATCTGGCTGTGTTCCAATACAACTTTATTTACAAAAACAGGTGGCGAGCCAGATTTGGTCTGTGGGCTGTAGTTTGCCAACCCCTGAAAATGTTCAATGTAATATCATTTATAGTAGTTAAAAGCTCAAAAGCAACCTACATGTTTAAAAGTGAGTGGTCACATAAATTTAAAAATATCCACTTAGATGATTGTATATATTATGTGCAATTATGAAGCTTTTATATCAACAGGGGTGTTTCCAAATATTAAATTTTGTAATAGAAAAATAAGCAACGGGCCAGGTGCAGTGGCGTATGCCTGTAATCTCTGCACTTTGGGAGACTGAGGCGGGCGGATCGTGAGGTCAGGAGTTCGAGACCAGCCTGGCCAACATGGTAAAACCCCCTCTCTATTCAAAATACAAAAAATTAGCCGGGCGTGGTGGCGGACGCCTGTAATCCCAGCTACTTGGGAGGCTGAGGCAGGAGAATCGCTTGAACCCAGGAGGCGGAGGCTGCAGTGAGCCAACACTGTACCATTGCACTCCAGCCTGGGCGACAGAGCAAGACTCCGTACGAAAAAAAAAAAAAAGCAACAAAGCGGAATCTATGATTGTAATCAGTGGGATTACAGCCCTGCAAACTTCACATATATTCTTAAACAAGGGCCAAAATATGACATTGTAGAAACTGTGGAATGGTGGGCCCATCGGTGAATTTAGTTGTTTCAAATAACTTTCAGATTTAATTATATTAATATTTTTAAAATTCATATTTCCATAACAAACATCTCAAAAACTTAAAAAAAGCCACTAGACCCTTCAACTGAAGACCCAGATGAAAAAATAAACCTGCTGGAGGAATTAATGATGCAGTGAGCTTGTGTGTGTGTGTGTGTGTGTGTGTGTGTGTGTGTGTGTGTGTGTCAGGGTCTCACTCTGTCGCCAGGCTGGGGTGCAGTGGCATGATCTCAGCTTGCTGCAACTTCTGTCTCCTGAGTTCAAGCAATCCTCTTGCCTCAGCCTCCCGAGTATTACAGGCGCCAGCCATCACACCCAGCTAACTTTTTTGCATTTTTGGTAGAGATGGGGTTTCACCATGTTGGCCAGGCTGATCTCAAACTCCTGACCTCAGGTGATCCACCTGCCCCAGTCTCCCGAGCCGTGAGCCATTGCGCCTGGGCTGCAGTGGATATTTTAATTTAGGTATATTAACATACCCACCGCATCATTAATTCCTCCAGCAGCTTCTGTGACACAGGTAGCTAAGGTGGGAATGCTGCCAAAGCCCCACAGAACCACTACGTTATTTTCGTGGCTAGCAGCTCTTCCATACTTCACCACTAACAAAAAGCCACTTTGTGAACTGACCAAGAATACTGCAAGCCTTTACTTTCCCTCCCAACTCTGGGCCTTTGCAGACACTGTTCCCTCCTCCAGAGCACCCTTCCACCTTTTCTTCCTGCCTTGCCCCTTCCCATGCATTAGGTCTCAGCCTGGAGCTTTGTTCTCCAGGAAAGTCTGACCACAGACGGGAGGGAACCCAGTTATCTGTGCTCACAGCATCCTCTACCATAACGTTCATCACCCTTCATAATGCTTCACCATGCTCAGCACTCTGGCACTAGCCACACTTCACTGATTCACAGATGCCTATTCTTTCATATTTTCACTCCCTCAAGTCAGGGCCTTTCTTTCTTTCTCTTTCTCTCTTTCTCCCCTCCCTCCCTCCCTCCCTCCCTCTTTCTTCTCTCTTTCTTTTTTTATTTGACAAGGTCTCACTCTGTCACCCAGGCTGGAGTGCAGTGGCTCACTGCAACCTTTGCCTCCTGGGTTCAAGTGATTATCATGCCTCAGCCTCCCAAGTAGCTGGGATTACATGCATGTGCCACCATGCCCGGCTCATTTTTAAAATATTTTTAGTAGAAACAGGGTTTCACCATGTTGGCCAAGCTGGTCTCTGACTCCTGTCCTCAAATGATCCCAAAGTGCTGGGATTACAGGTGTGAGCCACTGCGCCTGGCCAAGTCGGGGTGTTTCTTACAATGGCATTGGAAAAACAGGTGTATAGTTACTACTGCCTATGCATGTGGCAACATCCAACACGCCAGCGTCAAAACGTGTGGCATAGGTGCCAGCAGGAGGAAGAAAATCCCAGAGACAAGAGTAGAGCACCTTGACCTCAGGGGTGCGGGGCTGATGGTGGGGACAGTAACTCAGGGGTGGCTTAGCAGCATTCCCAAAGTGGGAATCAAAAGCTGGTGCACAAGCCCAGCGCTGACGGCCTGTAGTTTCTGTATGGATTCTTCTGAGAAATGCTGCATGGCTCACACTCTTGATGGCATAGGGGACAACAGCTTGTGTAGAAACACCTAAAAATAAAAAGATTTAGAAGAGGAAGGCTCTGGCTCTAAAAAAGTTTTAGGGATATCTCAACCAATTTATTTTTCTTCACCTATTTTCCTTTTTATATATTCACAAAAATATATAAGATCTGTATTTAATTAAGTCTAAAAGAGTTCTTTCAATGACCATAAGACAAAAATTCTAAATGATAAGAGAGATTTGTCTTACCACATAATTGATATTTTTCTTTCTTTCTTAGAGATTGGCTAAAACAGTGGCGCCTTTGGTGTGGTGAAATACCATTCTTGTTTAGGGTCTTGATTTTCTGCGACAGGGAAGCTGGCTGTGCCTCATTCACAGCTGTATCCCCTGTGGCTCTCCAGGGCTGGGGCAGAGCAGCCGCTCTACAAAGATCCGACGGAGTGACTTAAGGTAGTGCCTCTGCTGGGCAAAAACCGCGGCTAGAACCACACCAAAGAGCTAACACTCAAGGCAGGAAGGGCATCCGAAAGTGAGACTGCTACTTTTGGTATTTGATTCTTTTAGCCTTTAATCCAATTAGTAATACCTCTATTCAGTGTTTCCTGGCGTTGCTTTAAATTAAACCCGGCCGTGACAGCTTGCTAAGCTGACAGACACTTCTCTCAGCCCTCTGCTTGTCTCTGTTTGCTTCTGCTGTTTTGATTGGGAGTCTGCCAAAACCTGTCAACTCAAGAAAAAAGAAAGATGCTATCACAACAGGCTGGCGGCTACGACAGAAACGCATCTCTATCGCACACTGCGGGGGGGTGGGGGTGAGCTGCTCCAGGACAGGCATCCTAGCCTGTCTTCGCTGGGGCACCCACCTGTGCCTTCTCCCAACTTCTTGGCTCACAGGCTTGAAGAGATGTGCCCCAGACCCCATGGCCTGTTCTGAACCCCGCAGAGGCGCTCTTTCCACTGCTGGGCGCACACCCAGCCCCTTCCCTCAGTAGGTGCCTCATTATTGCATCTTCTAGAGAAGACTCAAGTCTCTCAAGCCCTTGATCTGTGCTGACGTTTTGGAAAGGAATGCTATTACCAAAGGCTTGGTCAAAGAAAACATGCAGGTGTTCATTTGAAAAAAGATTATTTCCTGTGTTCCAGGCACCACCTTAGGAACTGGACAGCCCGTGGTGACCTGGACAGAAAGGTGGCAGCCCCTCTGCACTTCAGGTCTTGGTGGAGAAGGCCCACCATAACAGGTAATGAGGTGAATTGAACGAAGGGATTCTGGCTGGCAAAGTGCTGTAATGAAATCGGAACTGGGAAACAGGATAGGGTGATGGTGGCAGGGTGGGGCAGGGGAAGGCCCTTCTGAGGCAGCACGGGGGCAGTCCAGCAGGGAAGCAGGCACACCCTAGACCTGGGTTTATTTTCATTTCCTCAGCTATAAAGTATGCAAAATGAGAGTACATAAATGATAGCGGTATTGTGAGGATTAGATGAGGTGAGTCACATCAGAGTCATACAATAAGACTTGGTTGTTAGCCATTGTCCCAAGGAGCTGACATCTGAGCTAAGGCTTTTTAAAAGAACAGGACATCCAGTAAAGCTTAACTTGAACTATTAACTATTAACTTCAGATAGGAAGTCTGCAAAAGGGATTTCTGTGGAAACAAAGGCATTCCAATTCAGACGAGGAGTGCCCAACGTGATTTCTCTTCTTTCTTTGTCTTCTGCCTCCAGTGTAGCTACAAAATGTGGAGTATCAGAGGGTCCCACCACACCGACTTTAATCCAACGAAGGGACAGCTCTGTTCTGGACTCCGCACAAATGTCGAGGTCACGAAGAACAAGAAAGATTGAGAACTTGTTCCAGATTGAAGGAAATTAGAGATGTGACACTGAATACACCTTATGATCTGGGATGGGATCCTAGACCCCAGGACATTAGTGGCAAGATCTGAGTAAGCCTCGTAGGTAAGATGATAGCACTGCTGTCATTAACTTCCTGATTTAAGTAACTGCACTGCTGCTCTATAATAAAGGGTCTTTCTTAGAAAATGCATGCTGAAGAACTGATGGCCAAAAGAGCATGATGTCTGCAACTCACTCTCAAATGGTTTCTAGAAAAAAGTAATAGCATGTATACAAATGGAAAACGATCAAACAAATAGAAAATGGTAACAAATGGAGAACCTGAGGGAAGGGGAGATGGGCAGTTCTTTGTACTGTTCTTGAAAAGTTTTTGTAAACCTGGGATTATTTATAAACAAAAAGTTACAAAAATATATAGTTAAGAGACTTAAATCATCCAATACTTCTACAAACACTAAAAAGATAGCACCCAATTCACAAGTAGTAGATTAAGCAATGCTAACTTGACCACTTTAATACATATGTTTTTGAGCTGCAGTAGGCTCGTCTTTAAAGATTCTACTGGGAAGTAGTAAGATTTATTTGGCATTCTGATGGTTTGGGGAATCTGGGGATACTTCATCATCTGTGGAAGGCTAGAAGCAGTGCTTCTTTGGAACGTGCTTCCCATCTGTCGCCCCACCCTGCCATTTGAGAACCACTCTCTGATGTTTTCTTCTGTCTTCATTGTTCTGTTTTTCTCAGCAGAAATTCAAGGACTGCTTCTCTCATTGAATAAGCTATTAAGGACAAAGATGTACTCAAAGCGGACTGAGACGTCACTGCCAGTCCGAGAGGCAGACAGTGTGGCCATCACTTTTCTGAAAGTTAATTCCTAGAAATGAGCAAAGCACCCTAAAAGGAGAAAAATGAAATGTCTGCAGTCTACAATGTTGAAGATTTTTAGAATCTGACTGCAATGGAAAATGTTTAATGGGCTGTATTTATTTCTTTATTTTTTCTTGAGATAGAGTCTCACTCTGTCGCCCAGGTTGGAGTACAGTGATGGGATCTCGGCTCAGTGCATCCTCCGCCTCCCGGGTTCAAACGATTCTCTTGCCTCATCCTCCCAAGAAGCTAGGACTAAAGGTGCCTGCCACCACATCTGACTAATTTTTGTATTTTTAGTACAGATAGGGTTTCACCATGTTGGCCAGGCTGGTCTCGAACTCCTGACCTCTTGATCTGCCCACCTCGGCCTCCCAAAGTGCTGGGATTACGGGCATGAGCCACTGTGCCCTGCCTATATTTGTTTCTTGTGGCCACTGTCGCAAGCCCACAGATTTGGTGACTTAGAACAACTGTAATTCTGTTCCCTCACAGTTCTTAAGGCGTAAGTCTGAAATCACTATCACTGGGCTGAAGTCAAGGCGTCGGCAGGACGGTGCTCCCTCCAGAGACTCTGGAGAGACGTCCTGGCCTCTTCCGGCTTCTGGTGGCTGCCCTGCCGCATCGCCCACTCTCTGCCTGGCCTTCACATCACCATCACCTTCTCCTCTGTGTGTCTCTTACGAGGGCACTTGTCATTGGATTTAGGGTCCACCCATATAATCCAGGGTGATCCCCTTATTTCAAGAGTCTTAATTACATGTGAGAAGACTCATTTTCCAAGGAAGGGAATATTCTCAGGTTCTAAGGAAGTAAGATACATATTTTGAGGAGATATCGTTCAACCCACTACATCAGGAAAGTAATTTTTTATCCATAAACTACTGTAAGGCAACTATAAGTAACAGTAGTGATCACATCCATGAACTCAGGATCTACGTCATCACAAACCTAGTAGACTTACTGTCAGCAAGCAGACCCCGTCACGTTCAGGGGATGCATGTTATGCTACAGAGTTCTTTCCTCTGCCCAACATGGCAGCCAGAAAAAAAGGTGCACTGCTGGATAATGGGGACACTGAGGAACCCTTGAAAAACCATCATCAGCCAGGTGTGGTGGTTTACGCCTGTAATCCCAGCACTTTGGGAGGCCGAGGCAGGTGGATCACCTGAGGTCAGGAGTTCACAACCAGCCTGGTCAACATGGTGAAACCCTGTCTCTAAAAAATAAATAAATAAATAAATAAATAGGAAAAAAGAAAAACTAGCGTCACATTATCAACACAAAGGTCCGCATTGCCTCTTTCACCTTTCCCAACTGAAACAGTATGTGTCACGAAAGCACCCACTCCAGAAATCAAATATCTGATCTGCAGGAAAGTTTTTCTGTGGTTGTGGCCTTAGGGCTTTCCAAGGAGTTAAAAAAGATGCGGTCAAGTTATTTGTGTTACTGTGCCATTGCTTGTAACTCTCTTGTAAAAGGCCGCAGAAATAATTTTGCTTTCTATTGACTGTATTTTCTGTTCAGTAAACATTTTTTTCCCTCCCCTTGTTTCAAATGAGAGTTGAAAAATATAACAAACTCTTTCAGTGGACAGTAAAAAGTAACATCAAAAGTCTTGTGAGATCTGTAAGGCAGCTGCCTGGCATGGCAGATCCAGAGGGATGCCTGGGCAAGAATACAGATAAGCCAGGTTTGCAAGTGGAAGGAAGGCTCGGTCAGATTTGTATGTCCCCAGAGTACATCAGCTTAAAGCCTTGGCAGACACCAGATAGATGGGAGGCAATTCTACAATTCAGATGGCTCCTATGGAATAGCAGCAGGGACCCCCCTTGGTGCCCTGCTCAGATTCCCAGGTTCCCTTTCACCAGGTCTGTGCATCCATCCCCCAGCTACTGTGGGTGCTGCTGCTAACTCCGTACACCTGCACCCTCCTGCTAATGATTTCCCTTGGACAACTAGAGCTGTCTGATTCGGAGATCCCTGGGGGTTGATGTTCCCTTCTCTCTGGTCTGTAGGCAATGAAAGGTATACAAAAGCCCAGCTCCCCTGTCTCAAAACGGCAGTCTTCATGGTGCAGTTCACTCTCCAGTGTTCCCCACAGAATCAGGCTGAGGCTGAGCTTCTGACACTCGTCTTTGTCCTGCTCTTCCTACCCTTGCTTACTTTGCTCATGCAATAAACCGGTTGCACAAGAATCCCCGTATCTAGCTCTGCTTTTAGGGAAGCCGACTTGAACACTCCCTGTAAGAGACCTTGGGAAATACTAAAAAAATGCTAGTCAGGCAGGCCTTCTTGTTCCCTAGACTCCTCTGGTTCCTAACATGCTAAAGAAAGTTGCGTGGGAGAGTGGAGCAGTGGAATGCTGAACACTGAGCTTCTCCGTGACAGCAGACATGGAAGACTTCTGAAGCCCTCTGGGAGACGATCACAAGTTGATGTTGAGAAGCTGAGTTTCAGGACCTGTGAAAAAATGTTCATAAGCATGCAACGTTTGGTGCGGGTCCTCTACTTCTAGGATTTGCTCCCTCTCATATTCTTGCACATACACAAAACTATGATATGTACAAGAGTAACCATGACAACACGGCCAGATAACAAAAGGTGGGAAATGGCCCGAATGGCTGTCAGTGTGGACTGGTTAAACAAACAGAGTAACTGGAATACAATGCAGCTATGAAAGAGGAGGAGAATGAGGACACTTTCTGAACGGATATGGAATTATCTCCAAGACAGAAAGTTGCGTAATACAAGTACAGAGCAGTGAGCGTAGGTGTGCTCTTACCTGGGACAGGAGGGGAGGCACACGCAGAAGTGTGAAATAACTCCCAAAGGTTATGCAAGAAACTGGCCTCACCAGCAGCCTCCTGTATACTTGCAGAGGGGAAAACTGATTATTGGGGGACTTTGGGTACATTTTGAATCTCGATCATGTAAATATTATCTAGTCCAAAAAGCAAATACAACTCAACAATGTACAACCATAGCTACTGTTTGCATCAGGACTTTATTTTGGACTTGTTCCAAGAGAACACCATGGAAGAGACTAACAGCTCAGAAATGGAGTCAGTTTGTATAACCGACAAAATATGGAAAGGGAGTCAGTTTGTATAACTGACACGGTATTTATTTATGTAATTTTTCAAGAGATGGGTCCTGTCACCTAGGCTGGAGTGCAGTGGCATGATCATAGGTCACTGCAGCCTTGAACTCCTGGGCTCAAGCAATCTTCTGGCCTCAGCCTCTTGAGTAGATGGGATCACAGGCATGTGCTACCACACTTGGCTCAGAACTTAAACTCCCTACCTCGGTTTCCTCATCTGTAAAATGGAAATACATCTCACAGGGATATTGTAATGATGAATGAGCTCCTGCATGTAAACCAGGCCACAGGATGCCCAGAGCACTAACTTAACAAATGGATTGACCCCACAGGAATGGAATGATGTGTGACCACCGCCCAGTGATAAACATGGCCCTGCCTGCTGCCCTCTGCACTGCTGTCGCTCCAGTTCCCTTGCTGAGGAGCAGCCATCAGAGCTCCAGCTTTCATGCAGGATAAACAGGCTTTTGTGAGTGCATTAGTTATCTATTGCTTCACAACCAATTAACACAAACTTGGCACCTTAACACAACATTCATTTATCATCCCACAGTTTCCACAGAGCAGGAGTCTGGGCAGAAGTCCACTGTTCAGGGTCTCACAAGACTGTAACAAGAGGTTGGCCAGGCTTGGGGTCCTCCTCTGAGCTCACTTGGTGGCTTTCAGTTTCTTGTAGCCATAGGTCTCAAGTCCCGTTGTCTTGCTGGCTGTCAGCTGAGCGCTGTTCTGGCTTTTGGCATGACTCGTGGATGCCTGTCACGTGGCCCCTCCCAGGCCCTCTCTCAACAAGGCAGTTTACTTCTTCAGAGTCAGCAGGAGACTCTCTCCCTTTGGGAAGGACCCAGTACTTCTTTTAAGGCTTTTACCTGACGAAGAGAGGTCCACCTGGGGAAAATCTTTTAATTAACTCAGAATCAACTCCTGGCTAGGTGCGGTGGCTCACGCCTGTAATCCCAGCACTTTGGGAGGCCAAGGTGGGCAGATCATGAGATCATGAGTTCAAGACCAGCCTGACCAATATAGTGAAACCCCCATGTCTACTAAAAATACAAAACCTAGCTGGGCATGGTGATGCGTGCCTGTAGTCCCAGCTACTCGGGAGGCTGAGGCAGGAAAATCGCTTGAACCCGGGAGGCGGAGGTTCTGGTGAGCTGACATCGCGCCACTGCACTACAGCCCAGGCAACAAGAGCGAAACTCCGTCCGGAAAAAAAAAAAAAATCAACTCCTTTGAGACCCTAACTGCATCTGCAACATCCCTTCTTCACCTTGGCATATGACATCCTGCCACCTGTGCCGTATTCCATTGGTTGGAAGCATGTCAGAGATTCCACTCACACTTAAGAGGATGGACTTACACAAGGATGTGACTCACTGGGAGTCACCCTCAGGTGTGCATACCACAGTGGGCGAGTGTGGGAGCTGCTCCCGTTCATGGAGAGACAGCACACATGGTGGAAGAAGACTTGCTGAACCTGGTTCAGACGCTGGCTACAGAACTTAATAGATGTATTTAACTTTGGGCAGCTGTGTATTTAACTTTTTTAACTTCTCAGCTTCTGTTCAACCAAAAGGAGGAAAAACTGAATACTCCACAGAGCGTTGGCTCTGAGGTTACACCTGTAATCTCAGCACTTTGGGGGACCAAGGAGGGCAATTACTTGAAGTCAGGTGTTCGAGACCAGCCTGGTCAACATGGTGAAATCCGATCTCTACAAAAATACAAAAATTAGCCTGGCGTGGTGGCATGCAGCTGTAATCCCAGCTACTCGGGAGGCTGAGGCAAGAGAATTGCTTGAACCTGGGAGGCAGAGGTTGCAGTGGGCTGAGATAGAACCACTGCACTCCAGCTTGGGCAGCAAAGCCAGACTGTGACTCAAAAAAAAAAAAAAAAGCAAAAAAAGGTTAAACAAAGGGAAATTGCATGTAAAATCATGAGACATAGTAGAGCAGGAACTGAACCTTCAGATACCCCCTGTCTTCCCAGTCCTTCCTGGAGGAACTTAGAACTTAAAAATGAAGATCATCATCATCTTGGGTCATGTGAAAATGCTTCCTAGAATATGGCATATACTTAGTCCATTCAGTACCCCGGGGAGTCAGGGGTTTTCCCCACTCCAGCTGATTT